ACCATATTAAAGAGGAAAATAAAGTTTCACTTTGCTTTTCTTTGGGTTATTCCTTCCATTGATATTGAATTATTGGATTAAATAATATTTTTTCAAATGATTTTTATTTTTTTTCTTGTTTTAGTTGCAATTAATTTAAAAAAATATTAAAAATCCTTTAACTCATAAGAACATAAAAAATATTTAATAAAAATAAAAAATTTCGTATTTTAATAAAAATTTCGTATTTTAAAAAATTTATTGTTAAATATGAGGAAAATGTAAAAAATGATAAATTATGAAAGCCGACGGTAGTGGCCGACGGTCGCCGGTAATAATAGTTGGTAGTATACTGTGACTGATGGTAGTGGCTATAAATGACTAATAAATTAAAAAACAAATATGAATATATAAAGTTATCATAAGTTTGTCAATGTCCAGAAAATATTTTTCTCTCTTGAAATATCATAAGTTTAGCTTTTGACATTTTACGAAAAGTTACTCGAACAGCTAAATGCTGCTAAAACTGTTAATAGCTATGAAATAGCTAAAACAGCATTTTGCCAAATAGGCCCTTAAGTCTAGCTCATAGTCAACCAATAATTATTCACCAAGGTGGTATTTGAAAACACAATTCAACATTAAAGAACTAGGTTGTTGAGTGTTTACTTCTTAAACAGTTTAACTAATGTAAAAATTTGAACATTTAGAACTTAATTCTTAAATTGACTTAAAGGTGTTTGTGCTTAATTATCAACATCACAGTAATATGTGTAATGCATTCTATCAGGCTTGGACTAATTGCACAAAATGGTTGACGCTGCTAAGCTTGACGATCGTCAACATTTGCTGGAGGGCAAATCCCAATTTCTTTGTATTCAACTTGGGCTAAGTATTGGTATTATAAACTGGGATCCAACATTTTGTTTGCATCCCAAGTCTCTAAAAATTTATTCAGGTCCATCAACTTGAATGTAATTTAACACAAAAAAAAAAAAACGTCGTTAATTCTTAACGTGACAATTATTTGGAAACAACAGTGCGAGTAAGTACTACCTCCTTGTCTCTCGAGTGAAGACTCACTTGTCATAGTGTGTGCAATCCTTTTACGTCCTTTTTAAGAAGACCATTAAATTTGTCTTTTAGATTACAATAATTAGTTGAATAAATTAACTATATTTACCTTAATTTAATATATCTAAACATCCAAATTGGAATTTTTTAGACTTCTTCAATTCTTCACTGTTTTGTCCAATCAGAATAACAGCTGAAATAAACATCCAACTTGTTTTTTTAAAAAAAAAATTGACAAAGCAATAATTATTTGTCATATACCAAAGGGTGTAAACATGAAAATAAAATTATTACTCTTTTGAAACTGTAAATTCGACAATATATATATAGAATTATAATTATTTTTTCCGAAGATAGCTTCACTGTAAAAGTCAGGAGGTAGCGATTAATTTAGAACGGTGTCATCCAGTAGTAATAGTTAAAGCTTTTCAAATTTTTAGTTAAAACGAAAAAGTCAAATTCCATTACATTATATCCAAGAACATATGAAATTTTGGTTAAAACTTGATAGAAAAACCCAAAATCAATATTATTATGGAGCGTATATATGTCTTTTGATACGTGCTCCTTATGTTCATTCGAATATGTTGCACAACAATCAGCAGCTACTACCCATACACACAGACAGATAATCAATTAATTTTCCGCTCGAAGATTATAATTGGTGAGAAACAAGTCACTACAAAGCAGATTCTCTGTATTTTTGAAATAAAATAGAGTATATATATTGTTTTTTCTCATTAGAGTTTATAATAGATATGAAATACACACATATATGTGTCCCATTTTAAAATATTATATTAGCCAAAACATCGTCTTTTTTATTTTATTAATATTAGGAAATATCGCACGATATCGGAATTTAAATTTTTCCTTTTTCATTTAAGGAGAAAGCAAATTATATTAAAATGTGAGTGAAGTGAAGTGCGAACATCTGCCGTTTTAATAGGACAGCTTACCCAAAAGCATAAATACAACATAATGAGTGACAACTCAGCTATATTATGCAATCTGGTTAATAGACACTTACCCAAAGCATAAATCAAGAACTGAAATGGACAACTCAGCTATTGTAAATAATAAATATTTACTTTCTCTTTCTCTATTTTCTTTCTTCTCTGATCTCTGATCTGAAGGCCATTATGTGCCTCAACTTGCACATACTATGATGCATGAAAACTCCTAGTTACAGGATTTTCGCGTTTCGAAAACATTTAAAATGTCTTTGTTTCCCGTATAAAATATTGTTTTTCCATGTAAAATTATATTTTAAATGTCGTTTCGTTATTTTGTTTTCGCATTTCGAAAACATTTCTACATATCTGTTTTCCCATATAAAATATCATTTTCTCATGTAAAATTATATTTTAAATATGATTTTCCATTTCGTTTCTGTGTTTCTATATTCTTTCATTTGCATTTCCATACAACGCAAATTATATCTCAACGCTTACTTAGATTATTACAATTGATTAACGATGAAGAAGAGCTAAACACTAATTGCTAGAAACACAATATTTAATGTAATCATCCTAAAATGGAAATAATTTTAGGATACTAAAAGGAAACACTCAAAGTTTCTTTTTTTTTTTTTTTTTCGAGTGAGTTGTCAATAATACACTTAATTATTTTAAAACTCACTTAAAGGGTCTTAATGACAAAACCATAAACTTTCACTTGCTTTTCTTATATTCCTTCCTTGATATTGAATTACATGCGTTTGTTTCTGGAAATTATCTTTGGATTAAATAATATTTTTCAAACGACTTATTTTTCATGTTTAGTTTCAATAATTAAAAATATTAAAATCTTTAACTCATACGATCATAAAAATATTAACAATAATAAAAATTTCGTAGTTTAAAAATTTTTTTGTTAAATATGAGGAAAATGTAAAAAATGGTAAATTATGAAAGACGATGGTAGTGGCCGAGGGTGCCGGTAGTGATAATTGGTGGTACACGGTAACTGGTGGCAGTGGCTGTAAATGACTAATAAATTAAAAATATATAAATAGATAAGGTTATCATAAGTTTGTCAATGTCCGAAAAATATTTTGCTCTCTTGAAATCGGAAAGTCATTTTCCTTAAAAATGATTAAAATATTTTCCGTTGATTTATTTTTCTAAATGCCCCAAATAATGAAAAATTGTGAAAAATATTTTCTTGAAAGTTATTCGTGAAAACAATATTTTCTTGAAAGGTTATCTTATGGAAACAACCGAAAGGCTTAAATACTCTAACTAAGTTGATTTGTAAACCATACTCCACTATTAATTTGAAAAAAAAAATAGAGGGTTAAATGCATCTTGGCAATCTGAGTCAAGTGCTTTCAGTATGGCAAAACATTAAGCTGTAAGTGAATATAAATTAGGAAAATCAATTATGAATTTCCGAAAACGCTAACGGTAAGATTAAATTATTGCGTAAGTAGTTTTCTTTAAAATTTTAAACGGTTAATAATCTTTATTTTTGCGCAGTTTTTTCTTAAAAAAAAAAAAAAACACACATGATGTTAATTATTGCGCGAGTGACTCACACATATTAGTAATCTTTGTTTACCAATAAATTCTACTCACTAGAGAGCCACGCACTTTTTGCTTTAGTCTAATCTTCTTCTTACCCTAATAGCATTAAATTATCAGTAGTACTATATATTAATCTCACATTGGTAATTAATTAAATTTTTTGGTAGTTACAAAAAGTAATTCTTTGTTTAATTTTCTTTTTACAATTATATTTATATGCATGAATAATCTCACCAAAAATTAAGTCCTCTCCCTCTTTTTCTTTCGCTTAAAATAATAAGTGAGAGGAAGAAATAGTGATTAAAAATTGTAACCCCACGGATGGCCAATGGAATGTTGCACCCCACATGGCCAATTGGAATGTTGCCACCAAATCTTGGGTTCCAATCCCATGCTTCACTCCTATGCAAGATTTAATTTAATTAAACTAATGGTGGTTGGGATTACTATAATCTATCATCATTAAGCATTAATGTATTCCATTAAACTCATACATTTCATTATAGGGACATAAGAACATTTGATTTGATCTTAATTTGATGATATAATGTATTTGTCATTTTCTTTTAGTTTTATGGTGATGTTAATAAATTTTATATTTTTAAAAAGTGTTTCGATTTGATTTCTGTTTCAATAAGAATCTTTAATCTTATTGATTTGAACCCAGTTTAAGTAAGTTTTTGCCTCTGATCAAAGCGAATATTTAAAAAAAAAAAAAAAAAAAAAACCATTTATAACCAACTTCCAAAGTATTATTTTATTTATTTTTATTTTTACAGGCCCTGGTTTGATCCTCTTTGGCTTATGCGGCAATGCAAGAACTATGCGACCATTTCGTGCTACCCACATGGATGGCAAAACTCTTTACAAAAATAGATACTCATTTACAAAAATAGATACTCATGGAATTATGGTACATAACATTCTTCTCAATAAATAAATGTAAATATTTGTAGAAAAATATCTAATTTTGCGGAACAGGACCTTAGAATAATGTAAGATCTTGATTTTCCCTTTTGTTTTTCAGCTGCAAATGTTTTGTTTCTTGAATCACCTGCTGGAGTTGGTTTTTCGTACTCTAATAGGACATCGGATTATGATAACAATGGAGACAAAAAAACAGCAGAGAATAATTATATATTCTTGGTAAATTGGCTGAAGAGATTTCCTGAATACAAAGATAGAGATTTCTACATTTCTGGAGAGAGCTATGCAGGGCATTATGTTCCACAACTTGCACATACTATTCTTTACAATAACAAAAAGGCCAAAAAAAAAAAAGGCCAAAAAAACTATTATCAACCTTAAGGGTATTTTAGTAAGTTTCTTTTTCTCCCAAGTAATCATTGATACATATATAATTATGTTCTTGAAATTAATAATGATGTTCTTGTAAAAAATTGCAGATTGGGAATGCAGTGATTAATGACAAAACTGATAATATAGGAATGTATGACTACTTCGTTGGACATGCCCTAGTTTCAAATGAGGCTGTCAACAATATTAAGAAGCATTCTGACTTCTCCCCCAATGCCACAACTCAGTCTGCTATTTGCATTTCAGCTAATAATCAAATTGAAAGAGACATTTCTTATCTTGATATATACAATATTTATGCTCCTCTTTGCTTCAGTCCAACTACCACAGCCAAACCCAAGATTGCTTCAGTAAGTTAATTATTATTAGTGCTTGTAATTTTTTTTTGTAATTTTTTTTTTTTTTTTGGTCTATGGAAAATAATTGTTTGTTGTTAAAATGAGCGTTTTGATGTATATTGATTAGGTATTAATGTTGATCTATAAGAACCCAGTGAGAGGAGGAATTTGATCCATGCATACGATCTTCTGAGTGTGTTAATGCTTATTTGAATACACCTGAAGTGCAAGATAGCTAATGTAACAAAAACTTTAAACATGATTGGGAGCCCTGCAGTGAACGTCATCAGCCGATGGATTCAGCCAATGGTTAGATAGCTCTGCTACTGTTCTTCCACTTCTACAAGAGTTCATGGCCAATGGACTTCGTGTCTGGATATATAGGTAAGTTGGTTAATCATTACTAAGTGTGTGCTTTTTAAGTAATGATAAAGTTATTCGAATCAGTGACCTGAATGATATGAGACGGAGATATGTAAAAGTATAATACAGTTATTTGACTCATGACGTGAAGGTCATGGTTTCAAGATATGCAACGGTGACTCGTGACCTGAAAGTCGTGGATTCGAGATACATGACCTGAAGGTTATGAGTTTGAAATATGCAAAAGTATAATAAAATTACTCGACTCTGACTTGAAGGTTATAGGTTCGAAATACGCAAAAATATAGGTAAGTTACTTGACTCATATCATGGGTTCTAAATACATAAAAATATAGAAAAAATTACTGATCTTGTGACCTGGAGGTCATGGGTTGAAACGTATATTAAAGTTACTCGACTCGTCACCTAAAGGTTATGGATGCGAAACGCGCAAAAACTTTAACCTGAAAGGTCAAGGGTTCGATATATGCAAAAGCATAATAAAATTACTCAATTCGTGACCCGAATATCATGGGTTCGAGTTGGGTCACTTTATTTAATGATGCAAATCTTTATTGGTTGTTATGCAGTGGGGATACAGATGGAAGAGTACCCTTTACTTCAACTATATATTCTATTGATAGGAAGAGTACCCTTTACTTCAACTATATATTCTATTGATAAGTTGAATCTTCCTATCAAAACTGAATGGCATCCTTGGTACCTCAAAGGAGAGGTATAAGCAATTTTTTCTTTTTGGTATTTATCAAAAGTATTCAAAAAAAGTAGCATAATTTTTTCTTTTTGGGTATTTTTCTTTTTCGAAGGTTGGAGGATATACACAGGTTTACAAGGGAGATTTAACATTTGCTACAGTTAGAGGGGCAGGGCATGAAGTTCCAAGCTTTCAACCTCTTAGAGCACTTTCACTAATTAAAAGATATTAGCTTTAAATTTGATTTATCATTCCTTAATTAGGAGATGGCAGTTAATTTTTTTAGGGTTTAGAATATTTGTTATTTCTTGGATTGTAATTAATTTCAGAATTTGTCAATTTGTTACTATCTTCAAATATTAGATATCTTTATCTGCCAATTTTAGAAAGTACTCTTCCAATTATAAGTACTCTTCCAATTATATTAGATTTCATAAATTGTAACCCATATCATGAATTTTTAAATTTTTTCATTTTTTGAATTATGATAATTGATTGAAATTATTCATGGGAATACTTAAATAAATAATTTATTAAATATAAATAATTTACAACTACATTTGCACAAGATTTAAATATATATAAAAAATAAACATATCCAATATTATCCACCTTAATAACAAACAAACAAACAAATAACACCAAAAAAAAAAAAAAAAAAAAAAAAAAAAAAAAACCCAATTAACACCATATAAAGAGGAAAATAAACCTTCCATAACATAATATTTTTCTTTGGAAAAGGCAAATGAGTAAAACTCACTTAAAGGGTCTTAATGACAAAACCAAGAACTTGCATTTGCTTTTCTTGTAGTTCTTCCTTGATGTCATTGAATTAAGACGTTTGTTTTTTGAAAATAATTTATCTTTGGATTGAATAAATTTTTCAAATGATATATTTTCCTTGTTTGATTGTAATATTGAAAATTAATTTAAAATATTAAATTCTTTAACTCATAAGACCACAAAAATATTAATAATAATAGAAATTCAAAAATATTAATAATAATAGAAATTTTAAAAATTTTATTTTTAAATATGAGAAAAATGCAAAAAAGATAAATTATGAAAGCTAATGGTGGTGGCCGATAGATGGTGGCGAACGGTAACTGGTGGTAATGACTATAAATAATTAATAAATTAAAAAAATATGGATATATAAGGTTATCATAAGTTTAACAATATCTGGAAAATGTTCTCTCTAAAAATTGGAAAGTCAATTTCTTTAAAAATGAGTAAAATATTTTTCGTTGACTTATTTTTCTGAATGCCTCAAACAACCTCAAACAATGGAAAATCATGAAAAATATTTTCCTTTAAGTTATTTTATAGAAAAAATAGAGCCTAATAGCCCATTTTGAATTTTTTTTTTTCATGATTGTAAGAATTTCATTTATAAATGAATTCCAAGGTAAAATTCATTGCGAAATGAATTTTCATGTTTGGTACGCTACAATTAAAAATAAGCGAATTCAATTGAATTTCAAAAAATTATGTTTGGGAATTTAAATTTCTTTAAATAAAAATTCATTTGGTCTTTATTTTCTTAATAACATTCCTTGACATTAGCAATAACAAAATAAATAAAAACAACCTATATATTTATTTATGTACAATATTAATAACTTGCATTTTTTTATTAAAATATAAATAACAAATTTCATATAAATAAGTACAATATTTCCATGCTAATTAATTAATTGTACAAGCAGTAATATTAATTCATAAAGAATTATTTTTTTAATTGATGTAAAAAATTTTTGATTTAAGAAATTAATTTGGAAACTAAAAAAATTATTAAAAATGGCTACTATTATTTATTAATTGCATTTGAAAACAATGTTGTTGTTGCTCTCTGTTTTTTATAGTTTCATTAATAAATAATAACTAACATTATTTACCTATACTTTTTTTAAAAAACATCATTACAGATCGAATTTTCAAAAAAAAAAAAAGAAAAAAAATAAAAATATAACTAACGTTATTAATTGGAATTTTTAAAAAAATGTTTACCAGTTTGGAATTTTTCCAAGAAGTATCAAAAAGGAAAAAAAAAAAGGTAAAATAATTTGGAGTTTCATAGTTGGGAGGGTAATTTTTATCAATAAATATTAAATATTTTAATGGTCAATTTTGTGGAATTCATTTACAAACTCTATCAATTTTAGTAGAATTTAAGTTAGTCATATCCAATTCCATAGAATTCAATTCGTGAAATTCAAATTAATCTATATTTTTTTTTCATTCTAAACACAAAATTTTAAATTTCCAAATAAATTCCACAAATTTTTGTGAAATTCATTTATTCCAAACCGCTTTTAAATATTAATTTGCAAATTGTGCAGGATTTGGGTGTGTAGGTGTATAATAAGTGATTCTTTTCTTCTATTTCTTAATTGGTATCATTGAATTAAATATTTGATTTGCAAATTCTCTGGATTTGGATTTTTTTTTTTTTTTTTTTTTTTTTTTTCTGAGGATTGGATTTGGATTCTTGAAAATGTCTGGGTTGTACAAGTAGTGATGAATGTATGTTATATTGATTGAATTAAAAAAAAAAAAAAGGAGTAAATGCATTGGTCGAATGAGTCAAGTGTTTGATATGGAAAAATTAAGCTGCTAAGTGAATATTAAAATTTGGGAAATCAATTATTAGTTTTGGGTGTATTAAATGTACGAGGTAGTAGGTAAGTAGGTTTTTAGTTTTTAAAATTTAAACGGTTAATAATTAATTAATAATATATCAACTAAATTAGGAAATTAGAAAATAAAATTCTTTTAAAACACTCTCTCGATCATATAATCTCGATCACATATATATGTAACTGTAGAAATTTGCTTAAATCAAATTTATGACCTTTACGTATAGACCAAACTGATGAAAATAAAAATTTTAAACAATTGTTCTAGTTTATTTTTTTTTATCATTTTTATTATTTAATATATCAAGCCATAGCAAGGGAAAATAAAAGTCCAACGTCTTATATGGAAAATAAAGCTGTATATTTATATTTTTGACAATGACTTCGTTTTGGAAAATAGGTTTTCTTTCCTTTTTTTTTTTTATTTGTTTTTCAAAATTATAGTTTTACTTTCTTTTTTGAAAATATAACTAATTCTTATATTACTCATTTAATAGTCCTATTATTTAAATTTTCTCCTTAATTCTTTATTTGAAGTATTTCTAAATTATCAATAAGGTTGTGATTGGATCGGTTAAATGATCTCCGATCTCCATAAGGACGATAATACAAGTTTGATTTTCCTTGAAAACTCAATTGCAAAGAAGAATTAAAAACTTTTAAACCCTCTATTACCCAGGGGCTGATGAAAATTACACTACCCGGATTATACTAGAAAAGAAAATGAATCTAATATTACAAATAGAGGTATATCAAAGAGAAATATAGGTCCAAAATTTAATATTTAAAAATATTAATTAACATTTAAATTAGGTTTGTGAGAAATAGAAACAAGGCATAATTTTATAAAGATGGAGGGAATAATAAGCTAATATTGATTCTAAATTTAGAAAATCAGGAAAACAATAATCCTTCTATTAGATACTTTCTCTCCATTGGCCAACACACACACCACACCACCCCTATACTTATATAAACACATAATTTGGATTCAAGGAAACAAAAATCCAAAAAATCCAAAAAACCCTAAAACCTTTTCCTTGCAATGGGGCGAAAAAACCCATGTTTGATATTCCAAGATGGAGGGAATAATAACTAATATTGATCTAAATTAGGAAATCAGAAAACAAAATCCTTCTATAGATACTTTCTCTCCATTGCACACACACACACACCCCTATACTTATATAAACACATAATTTGGACACAAGCAACTTTAGGATAATTGATTCTATTATTACTATAAATCAAGAAAATGGAAAAGATAAAGAAAAAGATAGGATCAAAAGATTGCCTGGCCAACCTCAAGTTAAGTTTTCACAATATGGAGGTTATGTTACTGTGGATAAATTAGCTGCAAAAGCTTTATATTATTATTTTGCTGAAGCTAAAGAAAGTTCTAAGAACTCTTTGCCTCTTCTTCTGTGGCTAAATGGAGGTATTTAATATATTCTTTTTCCATTTTTCTCCCTTTTGTGTTCTAAATTTCTTTATTTCCTGAAAATTTATATGGTTAAATTTAATTTAAATGTTATAATATTACTGTCTGTTTATTTAAAGCAATCATTAATATTTTTACAGGCGCCCATGGTTGTTCATCTTTGGCTTATGGGTTGATGCAAGAGGCTTGGACCATTTCGAGTATATAGTGATGGCAAAAACACTTTACAAGGAACAGAATTTTCATGGATTAAATGGTAATCCTTTAATTATTTTTTTAACTTTTGAAATAACTTTAAAGAACTGACTATCTGTTGTAATATAATAATATTTAATAAAAAATAATGGAATTCCCTGTTGAAAAAATTAATTTTCCAAAATTTAAATTAATAGTGTGCCCAAACAATACATTTCTCATGCACATTTCAATAAATTCTTTTTGGGCATATTTTAATTGTTTTTAATTTTTTTTAATTTTCTTTTTTTTTTTTCAGTTTGGCTTTTTTTTTCAGTTGCAAATGTTCTGTTTCTGGAGTCTCCTGTTGGAGTAGGCTTTTCATACTCTAACAGAACATCAGATTATAAGAATTCTGGTGATAGACATACAGCAACAGAAAATTATTTGTTTTTGGTAAATTGGCTTGAAAGATTTCCTGAATATAAAGCAAGAGATTTCTACATTTCTGGAGAAAGCTATGCAGGCCATTATGTTCCTCAGCTTGCACATACCATCCTTTACTACAACAGGAAGGCCAACAAAACCATTATCAACCTCAAAGGAATTGCAGTATGTGCCTTTCTAACCTATAAAACATAATTTTACTTGGAAAAACATAATTTTACTTGGAAAAACGGTATTTTATACTGGAAAAGGGGAAACGTTTCCGAAACATAAACGTTCATGGCTAGAAGTTTCCGTGCATATAAATTAGTGAAGCTAACCGTATGTTTATATCTGTGAAAATGCAGATTGGAAATGCCGTGATAAATGATGAAACAGATACTCTAGGCATGTATACTTTCTTTACAACCCATGTTTTATCTTCACCAAAAACACTGCAAAACATAAAAAAACACTGTAATTTCTCACCTAAGTATATCAACCATCCATCCAAAGAGTGCAGAGCAGCTACTGAGAAGGCTGACAAATATTCTCAAGCTGTTGACATTTATAACATTTATGCTCCTTTGTGCTTTGATGAGAATATCACAGCTTATCACAGCTCACCCCAAGAAGGCTTCAGTAAGTTGATTAACACAATTTTTTTATAGATGCAGAAAGGTGATTATATATATATAAGTAAAATTTGTTTGTTTTATTTTGCAGCTGGATAATTTTGATCCATGCAGTGACTATTATGTGCATGCATATTTCAATAGGGCTGATGTGCAAGAAGCTTTGCATGCCAATGTCACTAAGCTTGATCATGATTGGGAACCATGTAGTGATATTATTGATAGGTGGACAGATAGCCCTTCAACAATTCTTCCCTTGCTCAAGGAGTTCAAAGGAGTTCATGGAAAATGGAGTAAGGATCTTGGTTTATAGGTCAGTCTCATAAGAAAAGGAAAAAAAAAAAACATATTATATCCCCTAACTAAAACTTTTTTTTTATTAGATAACATTATATTCTATGATGTATGGAAACTCCAAACTAATTAGGCGTTTTTGCATTTCCTAGTTTGTTTCTGCGTTTCTTCGTTGTTTCATTTTAATTTCCATGATACATAGATTGTATCTTAAAACTTTTTGGACAACAACTTTTTAAATAGATTTTAGTGTTTTGATCAATTAAAATGCTCAACGCTATTATTTTTATAATTTTTTATAACATAACGTTTGAATTAGTTTTTACATAACGTTTGATCAGTTAAAATATCGTTTTATAAAAAGTTAATTCATTGAATGTTTAGCTTTTAACATTTTATGAAAAACTATCAACAGCTACTAAAACAACTAATCTTGCCAAACAGAACTTAGATTGTTATAATCAATCAAGGGTTGAAGAGCTAAACACTAACCGTCAGGAATACAGTATTTAATGTAATTATCCTAAATAAAAATAAATTTAGGATACCAAAAAGAAACACTCAACAAGCTGATGAATAACTGTTATTTTAAAAAGATTTTACCATCTTAACATTTTACCATGCAGTGGTGATACGGATGGAAGAGTACCTGTTACTTCTACTCAATACTCACTGGCAAAGTTGAAGCTTCCTATTAAAACTGAATGGTACCCTTGGTACCTTAATGGGGAGGTAAATTAATTATTTATTAAAAGCTTCCTATTAAAACTGAATGGTACCCTTGGTACCTTAATGGGGAGGTAAATTAATTATTTATTAAAATTTAATTAATTATATAATTTATAAATTGTAACTTGTAATAAAGAAATTGAAATAAATATTTTTGCTGTGGATGAATGTTTGTGTTTCAGGTTGGTGGGTATACTGAGATTTATAAAGAAGACCTTACTTTTGCTACTGTGAGAGGGGCTGGACACGAAGTGCCTGCCTTCCAGCCTGCAAGAGCACTCTCACTTATTCACCACTTTCTTCTTGGCAAACCTCTTCCAAAAATTTCATAATCTATGTACCTCAATTTTCCAAAAATTTCATAATCTATGTACCTCAATTCTATTATTTTTATTAGAATTTTATTGTGTTAATTTGTTATAAACAATAGCCAAATTATTAGGCTTAAGTTTATTGAATTTATGTGCAACAAGGCGTAATAGAGTGGTAGTAAATGCACATATAACCTGACTATAAATCTTAATACAAATTTTCCTCATCAACATAAAAGAAAAAGAAAATAAATTATTATTAGGTTGATGTAATTTTTTCATTCAGAATCAGATTTTGGTCCATAAAGTCACATTGCCAATATAGTTACTTATAATTACTTATAAAATCTCAATTCCACTTGCAAATGTAAGTCATTTGCATCTTAGTGCAGACGAGCTGTCGTTTGCATGAATAGCAAGTGATTTGAGATTACTTGACTCTTGACTAGATGTTTTGTAGGAAGGACATATCCTTTTCCATTTAAAAAAAAATGGATAATTTCCATCTGAGAAATTCTCAACCAGTATCCGTAAACTTTCTCCACTTTAAATAATACTTTCCAGAGCGTTAAATCTTTGTCAATAAGTAAACAAATATGCTCATATAAGTATTTCAACATAGGAAACAGAATTCTTCTCTGATAAATTGGTAACAACTGCTCATTGTAGTCATATGTAGCAGAAACAGGATTGTGGTCTTTTTTTTTTTTTGAAAATTAAATTTGGAGACTTAAAAAGATCCAAACTTTGCAAGCTTAACTAATAGCAGTCTTTATAAAATTACAGTTGTAGATTGTAGAAACCAAAAACATCGAAAACAATCCATGAAAGTTTTATCCTTGCCGCCAGGGATTGGATTTGAGACGATTATGACAATCTCGAGTTCTGGCCTAAGCAGTCCCGCTTTTTGCAGACCTGAACAATGAAGAATAAAATGTCATCTATATGCAAGGTGAGATTCTTCAACTGCCAACACCTATAGAAACTTTTCCAATTTATGCATTATGAATTAGAACCAACTGAACAGAACATGTAATTGATTCTCAACCACCAATTCATTCTCAACCGCAATTCATCTCTCAACCTGCCATTCTTGAACAGAATGGGTAATATCTGTTGAAAACTTGAAACACACATAATTGAATGGGCAATTCATTTTTTTTATATCTATTTCTATTTCTGGCTTAAAATATTGGCCATATATCAGTTTAGTTTTAGCTGAAGCAAAAGTAAAAAGTGCATATATCAGTTATAGTTTAAGCTGCAAGCAAAAGTAAAAAGATTAATACCTCATATTATAGAATGGTAGGGGATATTGGCAATAAAGCGCCAATAGTCTTCTTTCTCTTTTCTGCATCGTCTTTCCAGGAGGGGACACTCGAAGATATTCAACCATTCAAGTGTGGTCGGAAGGCCCTCCTTGGGAAAGGACTGGAGTTTAGGGCAATCTCCAATTCTTAAATCACCAAGAGAGGTGAGATGGTGAATGCCCCTGGATATTGATTTCAGATTTTTAAAATCTTCGATCTTAAGAGAGGTTAGGGAAGAGGGAAGCAGTAGGCCCTTCTCATCTGGGAAGGAATCCTCCTTATCTGTACTTGGACATGGCCCTTCGATTCTGAGATAGGTGAGAGAGGCGAGTGTTTTGAGTCTCCACTCTGAGATTGGCTGTTTCAGATTCTTGCAATACGAAATTCTAAGAAGACCTAGTTTTGGAGGTAAACCGCCATCTGGAAAGGACACCAGACCTCCACAGTTAAATATTTGCAAACGTTGAAGAGATGTAAGATTTTGCATTTGATTGGGAAGAGATCTCCAATTCTCACACGACAATATGAATAAAGAAGTAAGGTTTGGGGGTAAACCCTCATCTGCAAAGGACAGCAAACCTGCACAATTACGTATCTCTAAATTGTGAAGAGATGTGAGATTTTGGATTTGATTGGGAAGCAACCTCAAATTTTCACAGTGTTCTATGATTAAAAGGCTAAGGTTGGGGATGGCCAATCCACTTTCTGGGAAAGACTCCAACTCAGACCCATATATTATTAATGTGGTGAGATGCGAAAACCTATTATATTATGAAACGACTCCAATAGCTGTGTCGTCCAAAAGCAAATTGCAATTTTTTTAATTGAATAGGGAAATTCACCAACTAGAACCGATGTAAGAGATGGACAGCTATTGACACCCACAACCTCAAGATGAGACATCTCATTCCTGGCGTTACTATCATGCACAATGCCCTTAGGCAAGGACTCCAGAGAATCACAATAGTGGATTTGGAGACTTTTAAGACTACAAGGTAAACCTGCAGATGGGAAGGACACAAGGTTTCGGCACCGTTGAATATTCAGCTCTCTAAGAGATGTGAGGGTTTGCAACCCATTTGGCAGAATCTCTAATCCATCGCAGCCGTATATCTCCAAAATTTCAAGATTGCAAGGCAAATTCCCTTCCACTCCTCCTACCAACGACACTAGCTTCTTACACCCTTCGATCCGTAAAGATTTCAAGCTAGAAAGTTTGTCTAAATTAGTTGAACCCCGCCACAGGTGTATCAATTGGCTGCAATCACGAATCCACAGATGCTCTAGCGCCACGCTCCTAGCGCCACGAAGGACTGCCAACCACTTGTAATGCAAATTTTCAAGCGCTGAAATCACGCTCGAAATCGGACAAGGGTTTGAAGGAACATAGATCATGCACATCACTTTCGAGAATAATATCTTGACATTACAATTGTACAATGTCATCAAGGGAGGAAGGGAGGTAGGCCATGCAAACCATTTAGGACAATTTCCTATCGACAAATTTGGTTACGTAGGTCTTGAAATTTTTCTTTGTATGGACTCTCACACTTTTGCGACTGTTTCACTCGGGTTGTAGAGTGTGAGCTTCCTTTATTAACGCTTCAACTCAACAATTCCATTTCTAGAATCTCAAGAGACGGGGAAAGCTCAAGCCTACTTCTAGCAGTTCATACCATGCCCTTTTCGATGCTCCAACGTGCCGCATTTCCAGCGCACGTTGTTGACTATGACGTCTAACCTAGTGTGTGGGCAGCTGAGGTAACTATGAGTGACTGACAATAAGCTCCTCGAGGCACAAAGGTCTATAAAAGCAACGAGAACTTTGATTGATAGGGACAGGATCCCCCTATCCACATGAATCGGATGAGATTCCCTCTATCCGAGACATAAAAAGATCCAAGCGCGCAAAGCCGTATGTCCATACTTTTTGATCCTGGACCGGTCTTTCTGAGATAGCATAAGATACTTGTAGAGAGAGATAATCGTCTGTGGAACAATTGCAATGGAACACTGTCCATATCGCATGGTGAAGCTCTACCAAATTTCTCGACGGGGTTCCATGAACACCATAGCAGACTAATGCAAAGAATTTCTGGACCAAGTCTTTACACTTATGAAAAATTTCCATTAGAACTAACCGGAGATAAAATTTTGGTGCACATCTTAGCGCGAAAATCCTTGTGTCCTGAAACTATGTTCTGTTGTTGTTTTCAGAGTAACCATTGAACTTATGCTTCCCTCTTCTTCCTGACTATAGAAAAAAATATAGTTACTCATGAATAGTGGGGATGATATGCATATAGTGCTTCAAATTGACCATAGGCATATTATCTATTCCTTTTCCGAGCGATTAAGTGACAATGGCATGTTTTGGAAGATTTTGTCCAAAATTTCTGCTAGCCCCTTAACTTTGGCACTCATACGCCTATTGAAGCATGTTACACAATTTTCGTACTAGAGTTAGTAGATTCTGGCGGGCCGCAAAACTTTGTGGAGAATATAAAGGTGCTCAAACATGCTGCAAGTGTGGGCAACTTCAGATCACGACAATTGTCATACACCTATACACTCAGTAGCTCGCAGTGTCTGCAAGTTAGGAGAAGATTCATCTGTCAGTGAATGTTAGGTAATCTTTTCCGTTAGAGTACTTCACTGTTTGGTGAGAGGACAAAAGCGTCAAAAATATCGTATAAGTGTACTTCTTTACGGCGCAGATTGAACTGTGGGGTCTTCAATACGATATTTAAATGAACTCACTAGTGAATTTGCACCAATATAAAGACGATCTCATCAGTATTTAGGGGCACTAGGTTCACTCTAGGCACCACTTTCTCAGAGATTTAAAAATTTATTTCTCGCCATTTGATCCAGTGGAAGTACGACTGCGAAGAAGTTCGCCGATGATATACGAATCCATCTCATAAAAGTATTGATCAAAGTCTTGCGGAGCTCTTGTCGAGCATCAGCGATAGAGACATGAAAGCACGAAGCGGGACTGAATTGGCGATACGTTTGCCACATGATGATTTTTTTATTGCCCTATAATCAATTCTCATGTGGAGATCAGATAATACTGAGAGCGTGCGAGATGGAATTTTTTCAGAGATTTATCGACACATATTAGTGAGTAGAGTGTAGCTTGAATACCGTTCATAGTACTCTTCACATATAGGTAGACTTGACATTATGCAAACAGTAGTACGTTGGTTGTGGCCAAGAAACTTTAAAAGGATCGTCCTCAATAATAGTACCTTTCATGGCAAGATATCCGAAATTGACCTCGACGGCGGTTTTTTCATTTGACTTCATATTTTCAAACTGTGCGTGCCTTGTAAAGAGTTACTTCCCCACCATTCTGCCATCCCCACTGTAAGATACCATATCTCATGCATCTCACGAATTCGCTCTCTAACGCTGTAGTTTGCCAAAACATCTTGTCGACACATATAGAGCAAGAAGCAATTTGGTGCTTTCAGATGAGTATGGAAGATGGGATTAAGCTCAAACCTGTGAGATCCTCAGAAGGAGATGTCGCTTATATCTCCCAAAGATGGCTGTCTGTTTATATGTCATTTGGTTAGCAGTTGCATCCGAGTGTGGTTTTGGACCGTGGTTGACACCTCCTCAAATCATGCTTTAGCTTGCCACGGTAAGCCTGACACCTCTTTATCTCCACATATCTCTCTTATCCTGACTCATGCTATGCTAGGTATCAAGTGCTCTCAAAATTGTTCATATAAGCATAGATGGCGGATCGTGATGGGACATATACACCACACTAAGTGCATTCATACATATACTCAAAACACTCTCTAAGTTTGTATAGCCTCTTTGAATAATATCCGCGACGACACATCGTCCTCACTGTGGAGAGAGCGCTCAAGATTGCGAGTTTGTGACTGAATAATTCTACTTTCTTTTCTTCCAATATAACTCACGAAGGGGCGAAGAAACGATGTGTCCACGAATCGGTCATCACAAACTCACTTCGTTCCAAACATCATCTAGTAAACATATAAAATACATCTTGCGTCTGACCATGCAGGTCTTCAAGTGTGTTAAGTGATGTGAACTCTGAATTTCCAAAGAAGTCGATTTTGGAAGTAGAGATTTCCGACCAAGCCGATCTGAAGAACTCGTCTTATTTAGCTCATATGTATGACCATCTACGTCAAAATAACTTAACATCCATCAGACAAGCAAACCCTGATGCAACAGTCAAAATCAATATTCTTTGACTTTCAAGTCTTCTTATGACTTACCAAGTTATCTCAAGCTCGCTAGAGAATTCATGTCTCCTCACAAAATTACCTCTCACCCAGTTCTTCCAATCTTACTAGAAAAAATCCAATGAGCTGTACACCTCTCTGAATCTACTTGATTCTTAGAATTTTCAAAAGTGCTCAAGAGATCGTCGCTTTTGGTATCTCTCTTTTCCTTCCCTCCGACTAAAAATGAAATCGGCGGTCGTGTATTTACACCCAAGAACTCTGTTAGAATTCTTTTCCTTTCATCCTAACCGTTTTCCTTCTGCTCTCAAATCTATGTTTGATTTTTTTGCGTGAGGGTGATGCTTCTATGTCTAACAAGAGTGAACTTAATTGCGTTTATCTTGGAAAATACCATCATCTTCTTTACCCATGATTTATTTAATCAGTCACGAATCATCTCAAGGAGAATCTTTTTCGTACCAATTTACTCTGAATTTCCAACGCACAGGTGTCAAAGCATTTCTATTATGATCTTGACGAAGTCGGTCAAGAGAAGTTCTAACTTACGTGCATCTGCTTAGATTTGTCATATCCAGAAGTCGATCGACGGCCAGGTTTTTCCTACACATCTCCGATTTACCACACCTCTTATTACCTGATTCTGCTCTACCATCTTTGTCTGTCAATCCTTCTGGCATTCCGCGGTGCAATATGAGACGCCCATCAGAAATGCCTCTCGAACAAACAATCTCCTTCCAACTACTTGCTTGATTTAAGCATTCGGGGCAGACATCATAGATACTTCCGGGGCGTTTTTACAGCATATTTGAGCCAAAAGTCCACATTTCGGGAAAGCCAAACTTAGGTTGCAAAACAAGCACTCAAGGAGGCTAAGCGTGCGTAAAGAAAGAAGCGACCTCCATACTAGCAGTCTTGCAATTCTCCATAACAAAAAAGGAGGAGTCGATTTAAACAATTCTCTCAGCAGAACATCAATTCGACCAATCTGATACTTGGGTTGGAAATATAGGGTTATGTTTTATTTTTAGAAAAAGAATGTTGACAGATCCATGTAAGTATCAAACAGAGAGCCAATGAAGGACACGTTGCACTATAACTCTAAAAATACCTCTTGAATCAGCAAAACCATTCTTGGGGCAGGTGATTGAAATCTGCAGAAAATATTTAGGACGAGGCAAGAAGAGCTAGTTTAAACACGACAATAACACAAGTAATCATATCGTCATTAGACAACATAATCATGGTATGCACTGACATCTAGGTGGCTACATAACTGTAAAGTTCTTGGGCCTTTTTGAGATTAACTCCATCATCCGAGAGCCTATCTGAACTAACACCCAGAGTGCTCATTGTTATGCGCTCTTTTCTAGGTTTGAAGCAGGCAGAACAGACGCATTGCTGTAGAAAACTCTAGCAAGAGTAAATAAGAGAAGGCGAGTTCAGAGCAAGTTCTTTAAATAGCAGTTCGTGCTTCTGATATAAGTTTGTAGCCTATGAGAAATTATACTGATGTCTTCAATCTACCGAAGCATCATAAGACAATCTTATATTGTAAATAAGCAGATTCTAATATGCATATTGTCAAGGATTGATGAGCGAGTAGTACCCGTGTTTCGAGCACTAATAACATCTCGCATAGGTTGTATGGTATATTCATATCTCAAATTTTCTATAAATTGAAACATTTCATTTTAATTAGAATTCGATTGGACTATTAGCAGCATTGTGAAATAACTTAGCTTCAGATCAATCTGATTAGAAATTATAATTCCAAATATGTGCTGTTTGATATTGTTGTACTTAAATAATATTCAGTAAGCTTTTTATGTAACTTCTTTGTTACTATTTGAAAGTTCGCAGAAATAAACATTGGCAAAGATTTCTACTAATATTTTGGATAGCATTTAAGGAGTTCAAAAGAAAACCAATTCTGTAGAATTTGTAAATTGCATAATGTGAATCATCAAAATAATTCTTTATATGTCGACCATATGTTGAAAAATTTTGGCTTTGAAACGAACAATGAGATTCCTACCAACTAATAAACAGTAATT